CTCGGCGGCTGGGCGGTGGGCTGCACGGCGGCTCGGCTGGTGGGCGGCCGGGCGGCTCGGCTGCAGCGCGGCTCGGCGGCGGGGCGGCTCGGCTGCTCTGCTGCTGGGCGGCTCGGCTGGGCCGCTGAAGTAGGGCGGCGGGGCCACTGCAGAGGAGCGGCGGGGCCGCTGCAGAGAGGGCGGCGGGGCCGCTAGATAGGGCGGCGGGGCCGCTGCAGAGAAGCGGCGGGGCCGCTGCAGAAGGACGGCGGGGCCGCTGGGTAGGGCGGCGGGGCCGCTGCAGAGGAGCGGCGGGGCCGCTGCAGAAGGGCGGCGGGGCCGCTGGGTAGGTTGGCGGGGCCGCGAGATAGGGCGGCGGGGCCACGTGGTAGAGTGGCGGGGCCGAGAGGTAGGGCGGCGGGGCCGCGAGGTAGAGTGGCGGGGCCGCGAGGAAGGGCGGCGGGGCCGCTAGGTAGGGCGGCGGGGCCCCGCGAAGGGGCGGCGGGGCCGCAAGGAAGGGCGGCGGGGCCGCTAGGTAGGGCGGCGGGGCCGCGCAAAGGGGCGGCGGGGCCGCGATGGGGCGGCGGGGCCGCGCGATCGGGGGGGCGGGGCCGCGAGTAAGGGCGGCGGGGCCGCTAGGTAGGGCGGCGGGGTCGCGCGTAGGGGCGGCGGGGCCGCGATGGGGCGGCGGGGCCGCGCGATCGGGGGGGCGGGGCCGCGAGTAAGGGCGGCGGGGCCGCTAGGTAGGGCGGCGGGGCCGCGCAATGGGGCGGCGAGACCGCGAGGTAGGGCGGCGGGGCCGCTAGGTAGGGCGGCGGGGCCGCTGGGTAGGGCGGCGGGGCCGCTAGGGCGGCTCGACGCGACCGTAAGGGCGGCACGACGGGCCGCTAGGGCGGCTCGACGCGACCGTAAGGGCGGCACGACGGGCCGCTAGAAAAAAAAAAAGGGAGAGCGCGACTCGAGGCGCGCTTCGGTCGGCCCTAGGAACAGTCCCTAGGAGGGGACCTGCTCTGATTCCATGTGAGAATGAGAACGAGAGAATGGTGTGAACTATGAATGAAGCGTGTACAAATATGAAACCCTAGTTGGGTTGTACCCCCTATGGGATACCCCACTATAGCCTACACAATAGCATGGACTATAATGTTCTGACATTCTCGATACGCTGTATAGGCGTCCACGTTTGTTGGACTCCAATTGTTTTGGAGAAAAGTGACGAACATTTTATACGGGTGTTACGTCCGACGTCTCTTTCGTCGAATTGTACCCATATCGTATCCACCACACGTTGCTCATTCAAAGTGAAATGAACAACTATGCCAGGAGTGCCGTTGGCAAGCCCATCCGATGTATTTACATTACATGATGTATGGACACGCGAACCGATGAATAATTCCTGAACACCCAACAATCCATGCGATGAAGTTGTTGCAAACCCCTGTGGTGTGATCGGTTTATTCTTCCTGGATTGATCGTTCCCAAACAATGCACAATCCAATGCTGGGATTGCATGTTTTTCTTCCGACGATGACGAGTACACTTCGTGATTAAACGAGTCAATGGATTTATTGGTGCAACACAAATGTTGCAACTCAATTCCTGTTGGGTAGGTATCAATCTGATGTTCATGTAGCAATTGAACGTCCATCCGGGTTTGATTACCTTCACGTAATCGGTTCAACAGTTCGGCAAATCTAGCCTCATCGCGTTGACGCATAATCGTCGTAAGCTCGATGAGTCGCACACGCTCCCACAATTGTGATTCACCAAGAATTGAGAGCGAATTGTCACCGAAACAATGAATATCGCACACCGGAGGAAGCTGAAAAAAATCGCCGACAAAGACCATATGAAGGCCTCCGAAAGCAGAGTTTGTGTTATTTGTCAGTTCACGGAGTCTGAAATCGATCCATTCAAATGTACTCCTTCCTACCATTGATATTTCATCAACAATGATAACCTTTACGTCACCGAGTTGTGAGCGTAAAGTATTTATCTTATCCGAAGTCAACTTCTTTATTCGTCGATTTTGAACGACAGGAATAATTAGGGCATTATGAATGGTATAACCCTTGATTTGAAAAGCAGCAACACCTGAAGGGGCGATCTTTAACACCTTAATGGTACTAAATTCTGTATGAATCTGCGCATGAAAAATGCGCATCAATCGATCGTGAACTGTCTTGATTAGTACGGATTTGCCAATGCCGGCACCACCGCTCACGAGTATGCAAAGAGGTCCATTTTGAAACGATCGACGCACTCCTCGAACAATGTGATCAGCGATTGCACGTTGCTCAGCGTTTAGCATACGTTCCATTTGTATATATTCGCTGACACTTGTGAGAATGGTACGAAATGTATCAAATGAACGAACAGAATCGTGGAAACCCAGCTCCACACCAATATCTACATCTGCGTCGCATTGAGACGTATCGTTATCGACATCATCAACATCATATGCTTCATGCACTGCTTGTTCAAACGCGCGCATCCATGAATCGCCGCTAGCCGAATATTCCTTCCTCTTAGAAGCAATATACACCTCGTTCGCTTCAAATAACCGTACGACTTGGATCGGATCGCAAACTTCTTGACGAAAAGGAACAAACAGCAGTGTCTGTTCCCGCATGAAATTATATTAATCAATATCGCTGTGATAGTTTACATAACGAATGATCTTCCTGCTCGATCTCTTTCGATAAAAACGTTTCTTCGCCGAAAGGTCCGGTCCGATGACATCTTGTTTAGCACTTTCTTCATATTCTGCTGCAAAATCAGCAAGACAAACAGCCTCCATAATGGTTGGACAATTTACATATCGGTCTAATAAAGCGTATGGTTTGAAGATGTCTATGGATTGAGGATCCAAACATTCTAATTCCGCTTTGGGCTTCAACAAGAACAAACGCTGTTGAGGATGATTGGCGTTGATGAACTCCATGGCACGAGTAGATTTCTTGTACGGAAGACTGAGAATGAGGTATATCGCCTCTTGGGCGCTTATTTCTTGCGTGTTCAATATGTAGTTTCCAAGATCACGAAGAACATGTAAGACGCCTTTACCCTGTGTTGCCGCAAATCTTTTGGCATTTTCTATTATCTTACTAATTCCTTTACCCGATTTTGTTATATAAGCAGCTATATACATTGCAACACTATATGGATCAACGCATAATTGAATATCCATGTTGCCACGCCAAACTGATAGAATCGTCTTGTTGAAATTATTTACATAGCAATCCGTTATTTCTCTTGCATGAAACATGGTTCGTTTTTTCAATCCTACCCGAAGGCAATCTATATACTCATCGAATGTCAGGCGAACCGTGTCCAAAAATGCCGCAAATGTTAGGTTAGACTTTTCAATCGAACGATGTTTTCCAAGCGTATTCAGGAACTGATCGACAGTTGCTTTGTTCGATCTATGGCGTTCTAAATCCGCATCTGAGCATTTTTTATCGAAAGGCATCAGCACCAACGTTTTAGGAAGTGGATACTTTGGTATACCAAAGTGACACTTTCGAATCTTACCGCCTCTATTTAATATGCACGTTATAGTATGACTGTGCGTTTGCACTCTTAAAAGATCTTTTGTTTGTGTATCTTCAATAAGCTCTTGCGCACGACACGAGATGTGCTTATCTGCGAATTCAAGAATCCTTTCCAAGGGAATTGCCGCATCACATGCTAAAAACTCACTCCATATAACACAATGAGAATGAGGGGCACCTCGATGCTGGAACTCGTCGAGAACAAAATAGTCGACGACTGTACCAAGAATGCCAGTTTTTCTCGTTAGCATCTCTCGGAACAGTGCATTCTTTCGTTCGACGTAGTATCTGTCAGAACTTTATAGCTTACTTATTTGTGTAGGCTATAGTGGGGTATCCCATAGGGGGTACAATCCCATTAGGGTTTCCTATTTGTACTCACTTCATTCATAGTCATTTCATTCTCGTTCACTTCTTCTCATGGTATCGAGCAGGTTCCCCTGTGGGAACTGTGCTTAGGGCCCACCACCACTACCTTGAATTTTTTTTTTCTGCCCTAGCAGCTAGCGCGCCGCCCGCCCTAGCAGCCCGAGCGCCACCTTAGCGCCCGCGCCCCGCTGCCCGCCCTAGCGCCCTAGCGCCCCACGCGCTGCCCTACGCAGAGCGTGAGCGGCTCGCGTGAGCCGCCCATGCGCCGCCCAGAGCCGCCCGTCAGCTGCCTGCCCGTGCGCTAGTCGCCCGACGCGCCAGCCGCCCGACGCTCGCTAGCCGCCCGTCGCCCGCTAGCCGCCCGGCGCCCGCTAGCCACCCGACGCCCGCGCGCCGCCCGACGCCCGCTAGCCGCCCATCGGCCGCCCGTGCGTCACCCTCAGCAGCCCGACGCGCCGCCCGTGCAGCCGCCCGTGCAGCCGCCCGTGCAACCGCCCGTGAGCTGCCCGTGCGCCACCCGACGTACCGCCCGTGCAGCCGCCCGTGAGCCGCTCGTGCAGCCGCCCGTGCTGCCGCCCGACGTGCCACCCGTGCAGCCGCCAGTGAGCCGCCCGTGCAGCCGCCCGTGCAGCCGCCCGTGCAACCGCCCGTGCAGCCGCCCGTGCAGCCGCCCGTGCAGCCGCCCGTGCAGCCGCCCAACGTGCCGCCCGTGAGCCGCCCCAGCCGCCCGTGCAGCCGCCCGTGAGCCGCCCGCGAGCCGCCCGTGAGCTGCCCGCCACGACGCCCGCGCCGCCCGTGAGCCCCCGCGTCACCCGAGCCGCGCGAGCCACCCGAGCAGCGGAGCCGCCCGAGCCGCCCGTGCCGCTGCGTGCCCGAGCCGCCCGAGCCGCCCGAGCCGCCCGACCCGCCCGACCCGCCCGAGCCACCTGGGGAGCCGAGCTGCTGGTCCTATGGGGCTGCTGTTGCTACTGGGCCGGCAGCTGCTCTGTTACCGTGTTCCTGTACTGCTGAGCTGCCCGACCTGTCCTGTCTGGTGAGCACAGCTCCACTGCTACTGCGTGCCCCTCCCCGCACTGCTTGCACTGCTAGTCTGTCGTCATGGCTACCCCTAGTGTCCTAGCTTTTGACGCTGAGGGTCGCGCCATTGACTTTGAGGTCTGGGTCGACGACCGGCAGCTGTTCTTACAGTGCGATAGGGCAGACGGTCTTTCTCTCTTTGACCTCACCTCTGGTGCCGTCCCTGCCCCTGCTGCTGATGCTGACGCCACTGTTCGCTCACAGTGGGCCACGCGCGATGCTGCTGCACGTCTTGCTGTGCGTCGCCACCTGCCTACCGCTGAGCGCGCGCACTTTAGCCAGTACAAGAGTGCCCAGACCTTGTACGACGCTGTAGTTGCGCGCTACTCCTCCCCTGCCACTGCTGCACTGAGCCGCCTCATGCTCCCCTTCCTCTTCCCTGACCTTGCCGCCTTTCCCATTGTCGCTGACCTCATTACGCACCTCCGCACTAGTGACACTCGCTACCGCGCTGCGCTTCCTGCTGACTTCTGCGCCCAGAACCCCCCCCCCCCCATGTACATCACTCTCTACTTTTTAGTCACTCGCCTCTTTGACTCCCTTCGTGTAGTCCGGGACCACTTCCTCGTGGTCTGTCCCACCACCCTCACAGTCGACAGCCTCGAGAAGGCCCTCCTAGCGGCGGAGAAGAGCATAGTCGCTGTAGGAGCCTCTCGAGGTGACCCCCGCGCCCCCATCTTTGAGGGGTGTTCTCCTTCCCCCCTTTTGCCCTCTGTCGCCTCTGCCGCTGCGGCCGACCTCGTTGGTCTTGAGTCGGTCGGTGCGGCGTCTGCCCCTAGCGGGAGACGCCGCTCTGGCAAGGGCAAGGGGGGCAAGGGAGCGGGTGGGGCCAGCGGGGGCGGTGGAGGTGGCGGTGGAGGCGGCGGAGGGAGTGGGGGTGGCGGTGGAGGTGGTGGCGGGGGTGGGGGTGCTAGTGGCGGCAGTGGAGGCGGGGGTGGCGGCGGCGGTGGCGGTGGGAGCGGAGGTGGCGGAGGCGGCGGCGGAGGAGGCGGAGGCGGGGGTGGCGGTGGCGGTGGCGGTGGCGGTGGTGGAGGTGGTCGGAGAGGCACTTCGCAGCGGAGCAGCACTGGGGGTGGTCAGCGCCAGCAGCAGCAGCAGCAGCGTTCTCGCGACCTCCTGACGCCTTAGTAGCTCCGTGAGTGGTACACGCAGCGTCAGTGTGGTGGGGGTTTTGGTCCCTGCACCTACGTCCTTGGCACTGGCGACCGTGCTGGAGAGCAGTGTGGGGGTACCCACACCGCCCAGCGCTGCTTTGGCCGCCTGACGGACGCTTGGCGCCAGCAGTTCCCGGAAGCCGCGGAGATCCCCCGCTGGGGAGAGCTGTCTAGGGCTGGTGTAGCTATCTTTGATCTTGACTTTGATGCTATCCTTGCTGCCATGTATGGTGTGACCATTAGTGATGAGGGTGAGTGTTACCGGTGTTTCCCGCCCGACCCGGGCATTGGTACTGCTGCTCTAGGTGTCAGTGAGGCTTCTGCTCTAGGTGCCTGTGCGTCTGTGCTCTCAGGTACTGGTGAGGCTGCTCTCTCAGGTACTAGTGAGTCTGCGCTCTCAGGTACTGCGTCGGCCTCGGCCTCCCACACCTTCACTCTTGACTCTGGAGCGTCTCGCTCCTTCTTTCGGGACCGCACCACACTCACGCCGCTTAGTCGGCCGGTTGCGGTGTCCTTAGCTGACCCCTCTGGGGGTCCTGTCCTGTCTTGCTTCTCCACAGTCCTCCCGTGTCCGGCGGCTCCCTCTGGCACCCTGTCTGGTCTCTACCTCCCCTCGTTCTCTACGAACTTGGTGAGTGGTGCTGACCTACAGGATGCGGGAGTCCACCAGTTCACCCCTGCTCGTCAGCGGGTGACGCACTGCACAGAGGCTAGCACAGGTCGTCACCTGGCTACGTTTACACGTCAGCCAGGGTCGAGCCTGTAAACACTGACCACTGCTTCTCCTCCAGTTCCTGAGTCTGGTAGGGTCCCTTCGTCAGGTCAGGTGTTTGCTGCAGCGTCCAGGTCTGGTCCTGACTCTGCCCCCTGTTCGTGTCGTCGCCTGTCTCACGAGACTCTTCTCTGGCACCACCGCCTGGGTCATCCCTCTCTGCTTCGGCTCAGAGGCATGGCCTCCCGTCTTCTTGTGTCTGGTCTCCCCCGGTCCCTCCCCCCCCTTCCTCAGGGCCCTGGCCCCGCCTGTGTCCCCTGTGTCGAGGGGCGCCAGCGTGCTGCCCCTCACTCCTCCCAGTTTCCTCCGACAGAGGCTCTGTTGCAGACGCTTCACATGGACGTGTGGGGCCCTGCCTTCGTCCGTGGACTCGGTCACGAGCGCTACTTCCTGTTGGTGGTTGACGACTACTCGCGTTACACCACAGTCTTCCCCTTGCGCAACAAGGGTGATGTTACTGAGGTGCTGATCGACTGGATCCGTGCAGCTCGTCTCCAGCTCAGGCAGAGCTTTGGCTCGGACTTTCCTGTGCTGCGTCTGCACTCGGACAGAGGCGGAGAGTTCTCCTCTGGCCTTCTGCGTGCCTACTGTCGTGCGCGAGGCATCCGTCAGACCTTCACGCTTCCGGACTCACCGCGGCAAAATGGGATTGCAGAGCGCCGCATTGGCATGGTCATGGACGTCGCTCGTACGTCTATGATGCATGCGGCTGCCCCCCATTTTCTGTGGCCGTTTGCGGTCAGGTACGCGGCGCATCAAATCAACCTCCACCCCAGGGTCTCCAGGCCGGAGACCTCCCCAGCCCTGCTGTGGACGGGGAAGGTTGGCGATGCGTCGGCGTTCCGGGTCTGGGGATCTCGGGCGTTTGTCCGCGACTTGTCTGCGGACAAGCTGTCCCCTCGCGCTGCTCCCTGCGTCTTTCTGGGGTTCCCCCCCGACGCCCCTGGGTGGCAGTTCTACCACCCCACCTCTCGCTGTGTTCTGTCCTCCCAGAACGTCACGTTCGACGAGTCGGTACCCTACTACCGCCTCTTCCCCTACCGCACTCCGTCCCTCCCCCCACCCCCGTGTCAGATGATTATATTACTGATGCATATATTTAGGCTGTAGTGGGGTAGCCCATAGGGGGTACAACCCAATTAGGGTTGGTACTTGTACTTGTTTCATTTTCATAGTGCACTCATTCCTCGCCTCTATCTCAACATGGTATCGAGCAGGTTCCCTAGTGGGAACTGTTCCTAGGGCCCACCTACTATTCCGTCCTGCCCGGAGCGCGCTCTGCCCTAGCCCGAGTCGCGTTGAGCCTTTTTTTTCCTTTGGCGGCCCGATCGCGTCGAGCCGCCCGCGAAATTCGGACGCGCCTCCTACGCGGCCTCGTCGCGCCGCCCCTAGACGGCCGCGCCGTGTCGCGCGTGCCGCCCTCCAGTCGCGTGCCGCCCCCCCCTCTGACCCTCGCGACGCCGGCGCCGTCGCTGACGGCCCCGCGATCGCCTGCGACGGCCCCGCCGTCCCCTCTACCGGCCCCTCCGCTGCGCTTGACGGCCCCGCCGTCCCCTCTGCCGGCCCCGCCGCTGCGCTTGACGGCCCCGCCGTCCCCTCTGCCGGCCCTGCCGCTGCACCCGACGGCCCCGCTGTCCCCTCTGCCGGCCCCGCCGCTGCTTCAGACGGCCCCGCCGCTGCACTTGACGGCCCCGCCGTCCCCTCTGACGGCCCCGCGGCTGCACCTAACGGCCCCGCCGTCCCCTCTGACGGCCCCGCCACTGCACCTACCGGCCCCACCGCTACCCCTGACGGCCCCGCTGCTGCATCTTCAGGCCCCGCCGTCTCACCTGCCGGCCCCGCTGCTGTACCTGACGGCCCCGCCGCTTCACCTACCGGCCCCGCCACTACCCCTAACGACCCCGCAGCTGCATCTCCCGGCCCCGCCGCCCCAGCAACTACGCCGCCCCAGCAGCCGAGCCGCCCCAGCAGCCGAGCCGCCCCAGCAACCGAGCCGCCCCAGCAGCCGAGCCGCCCCAGCAGCCGAGCCGCCCCAGCAGCTGAGCCGCCCGAGCCGCCCGAGCCGCCGAGCCGCCCGAGCCGCCCAGCAGCCGACCCGCCGAGCCGCCCGAGCCGCCCGAGCCGCCCGAGCCGCCCGAGCCGCCTGCACTGCCCTGTCTGGTGAGCACTGAGCTTTACTCTGCGCACTGCCCTTACCCCATTGCTGTCATGGCTACCCCCAGTGTCCTCACCTTCGACGCTGAGGGCAGAGCCATCGACTTTGACGTGTGGGTAGACGACCTACTGCTTATCCTACAGTGCGACAGAGCTGACGGCCTCTCTCTCTTTGATCTCACCTCTGGTGCCTCTCCCGCCCCTGCTGCTACTGAGGATGCCACTGTTCGCTCACAGTGGGCCACACGCGATGCTGCTGCACGTCTTGCTGTGCGTCGCCACCTCCCTCCCTCTGAGCGTGCACACTTTGGGTCGTACAAGAGTGCTCAGACCTTGTACGACGCCGTTATTGCACGCTACTCCACCCCTGCCACTGCTGCACTGAGCCGCCTCATGCTACCGTACCTCTTTCCCGACCTTGCTTCTTTTGCCACAGTCGCCGACCTCATTACCCACCTGCGCACTAGTGACGCTCGCTTCCGCGCTGCGCTTCCTGCTGAGTTCTGCGCCAAGAACCCCCCCCCCCAGTACTTCACTCTCTACTACATTGTCACCCGCCTCCCTGACTCCCTCCGCGGAGTCAGGGACGACTTACTCTCAATCTGCCCCACCACTCTCACTGTTAACCTCTTCGAGAAGTCCCTCCTAGCAGCCGAGAAGAGCATTCTCGCTGTAGGGGCCTCTCGTGGTGACCCGCGCACCCCCATCTTTGAGGGGTGTTCCCCCTCCCCCCTCCTGCCCTCTGTCGCCTCTGCTGCTACGGCCGACCTATTTGGTTTTGAGTCGGTCGGTGCGGCGTCTGCCCCCAGTGGGAGACGTCGCTCTGGCAAGGGCAAAGGGGGCAGGAGCGGTGGTGGAGGCGGCGGGGGCGGTGGGAGCGGCGGTGGAGGCAGCGGAGGAGGTGGGGGTGGTAGCGGGAGTGGTGTCGGGAGTGGAGGTGTCAGCGGCGGCAGTGGAGGCGGGGGTGGCAGCGGCGGTGGTGGTGGGAGTGGAGGCGGAGGCGGCGGTGGCAGCAGCGACGGTGGGAGTGGCGGTGGCAGCGGAGGTGGTGGCGGCGGCGGCGAAGGAGGCGGCGGAGGAGGTCGTGGCTCGTCGCAGAGGAGTGGCTCCGGTGGCGGTCAGCGCCAACAGCAGCGGCAGCAGCGTGGTCAGGAGACCCTCTCCCCGCAGCAGCTCCGTGAGTGGTACGCTGCACGTCAGAGGGGTGGGGGTACTGGTCCGTGCACCTACGTCTTGCGCACGGGCGACCGTGCGGGTGAGCCGTGTGGTGGTCCACACCCCGCCCAGCGCTGCTTCGGCCGCCTGACTGACGCTTGGCGCCGCCAGTTTCCTGACGCCTCTGAGATCCCTCGCTGGGACCAGCTGTCTAGGGCAGGAGTAGCTATCTTTGATCTTGACTTTGATGCTATTCTTGCTGCCATGTATGCTGTGACCATTAGTGAGGAGGGTGACTGTTACCGGTGTTTCCCGCCCGACCCGGGCATTGCTACTACGGCTCTAGGTGCTATTGAGGCTGCTGCTTCAGGTGCTGGTGAGGCTGTCGCTCTAGGTGCCAGTGAGTCTGTGTCCTCAGGTGCTGGTGAGTCTGCTCTCTCAGGTACTGCGTCGGCTCCGCCCTCTCTCACCTTCACTCTTGACTCAGGGGCGTCTCGCTCCTTCTTTCGAGACCGCACCACACTCACGCCGCTTAGTCGGCCAGTGGCGGTCTCCCTCGCGGACCCCTCTGGGGGTCCTGTTCTGGCTCGCTACTCCACTGTCCTGACGTGCCCTGCGGTCCCGTCTGGCGCCCTGTCCGGTCTCTACCTCCCCTCGTTCTCTACGAACTTGGTGGCGGGTGCTGACCTACAGGATGCAGGGGTCGACCAGTTCACCCCTGCACGCCGACGGGACACCCACTGCACGGACGCGGACACGGGTCGACACTTGACCACGTTCACACGCGGGCCGGGGTCGAGCCTGTACACACTCACTGTTCCGTCTTCTCCTCCTGCGTCTGGTCAGGTAGCTGCGTCGGGTCAGGTGTTTGCTGCAGCGTCCAGGTCTGGTCCTGAGTCTGCCCCCTGCTCGTGTCGCCTCCTGTCCCACGAGACCCTCCTGTGGCACCACAGGATGGGTCACCCCTCCCTGCCTCGTCTCCGGGGCATGGCCTCTCGCCTTCTTGTCTCTGGCCTTCCCCGGTCCCTCCCTCCCCTTCCTCAGGGGCCTGGCCCTCCCTGTGTCCCCTGTGTCGAGGGTCGCCTGCGGGCTACCCCTCACTCCTCCCCGTTTCCTCCGACGGAGGCCCCGATGCAGACGCTTCACAGGGACGTGTGGGGCCCAGCCCGCGTCCGTGGACAGGGTCACGAGCGCTACTTCCTGCTGGTGGTTGACGACTACTCGCGTTACACCACAGTCTTCCCCTTGCGCAGCAAGGGTGAGGTCACTGAGGTGTTGATCGACTGGATCCGCGCAGCTCGTCTCCAACTCAGGCGGAGCTTCGGCTCGGACTTTCCTGTTTTGCGTCTGCACTCGGACACAGGCGGAGAGTTCTCCTCCGGCCTTCTGCGAGCCTTGTGTCGGGCACGAGGCATCCGCCAGACCTTCACGCTTCCGGACTCTCCACAGCAAAATGGGATTGCTGAGCGCCGCATCGGCATTGTCATGGACGTCGCCCGTACGTCCATGGTGCATGCGGCTGCCCCCCATTTTCTGTGGCCGTTTGCGGTTCGGTACGCCGCACATCATATCAACCTTCAGCCCAGGGTCTCCAGACCGGAGACCTTTCCAGCTTTGCTGTGGACGGGGAAGGTTGGCGATGCGTCGGCGTTCCGTGTCTGGGGATCTCGGGCGTTTGTCCGCGACTTGTCTGCGGACAAGCTGTCCCCTCGTGCTGCTCCTTGCGTCTTCCTGGGTTTCCCCCCTGACGCACCTGGGTGGCAGTTTTACCACCCCACCTCTCGTCGTGTTCTGTCCTCCCAGGACGTCACGTTTGACGAGTCCGTTCCCTTCTACCGGCTCTTCCCCTACCGCACTCCGTCCCTCCCCCCCCCGCCCCTCTTCCTGGTCCCAGGTCCCCCCCCGGTAGACCCCCTCCCCCCTCAGGGTCCTGCCCCTTCAGGTGTGTCTCAGGTAGACGCGGTCGAGCCTGTCGAGGTCACTGGTGACTCTGGTGCTGAGACTGGGGGTGCTGAGCCTGGGGGTGCTGTGCCTGGGGGTGCTGAGCCTGGGGGTGCTGAGCCTGGGGGTGATGTGCCTGGGGGTGCTGAGCCTGGGGGTTCTGCGTCTGAGAGTGCTGCGTCTGCTGCTTCTGTTCCTGGTGGTTCTCCAGACCGGTCTTCGCGCCGCGAGCCGCTCTCTCCTCTGCAGCTGCGTGAGTGGTTTGCCCGGCGCTGGAGGCGAGCTGCTGGAGCCGGGGGTACTGCGGGTGCTGTAGGTTCCGTTGCTGCCGAGGGAGCTGGCACCACGGGTCCCGGAGGTGCTCGTACTGAGGGTACTGGAGCTGCCGGGCCCGGGGGTGCCTCTGGAGCTGGAGCTGCTGCGGGTGCTGGCGCTGAGGCTACGACTGTCGGTCCTACTGCGGGTACTTCTGCAGCTGCTGGTGGTGCTGGAGTTGGGGCTGCTACTGGTGCTGGTGCTGCCTCTGGAGGTGTTGGTGCTGTCCCTGCTGTCTCTGGCGGTGCTGCGCGGCCTCGGCCGTACTTCGTTCCGCTCCTTCAGCAGGTTCTTGGTCTCCCGCCTTCCACTGGTCCTTCTCCTCCCGTAGAATGTCCGCAGCCTGTCCCGTCACAGTCACAGTTACAGCCCGCCTCTCCCCTGCCTTCTCCTTCTTCCTACGCTGGTCCTACTGGAGGTCTTGCTGAGCGTCATGAGCCTGCGTCCCGCCCTGCGTCGCCAGTCCGAGCTGCTCTCTCTAGTGGTCGCGGTTCGCGTCAGCGTCCTCCTCCT